AGAGTCGACAGATTTCAAAGTTGCTATCCATCACCGCTACCAATCTTAACCATCAGGCACGAACATCGTTTCAAGGATGTTGGTATCCGTGATATTAACTATCTCTATGGGCTACCTAAATATCGTGCCGTGCTCGTGACCCATGTTAGGCTCTGGAACAGCGCGCCCCGCGGTATATTATGTTTGGTCATATCGACGGCCCTACCGGCTCGAAAAGACGTCGGCGGCCAGGTGACCGGACGCCGGGCCGGCAGGTCAGCGGAGAACTGAGAAGCGCCGTTCGCGCTGTACTGTCCACGATTATGCTAAAAAAGACCGGTCATCGGGCTGCAGCGGCCGCTCTCTAGTAGCATACAGCGCCTGTGCGATAGTGCGATTCGTAGACCGAATTAGGCAAATTCGTAGAGTTAGGCAAACTGCCCCGACAGCCACAATCCAGCCAACCGACCTCGGCAACAAAACAGCTACCATACCGCCGCGGCCTCTACGAGCTCTATAATTCAACGCAGTGTGTGTCGCATTCATTGGCAATTACAGTAGTCTGCGGATCGGGGTGAACATAATTAGTGGGTGAAAGTGAGCAAAAATAAATAGACTTTGTATTTGACCAGTATCACATATCACCGCACATTATGAAAAACACCGTGGAAACACTCCGTCCGCCACAACACAGAGGTGTACCGGTACCCCTTTCACCGGCAAAGCACTGACAGCGGACACTCAAACGACCCATTGACGTAACGTGGCACTCCACTCAGACAGCTGGAAGCACGCAGCCCGTTGAGAACATCTTAGAAACTGCTTACGCGGTACACCGTCATAAATGACTGCAACACGTACAACACGTACACGTACTGTTCAATTAGGGCTATTTCTACAGTCGATCTCGGTGTCACGCAAACCTCTAAACTTAATTATTCACCAAGTTCATTCACCATTTTTTTTTGGAGACATATAAGCTATCGCAGCTAATGATCGCCTGCATCCAGCAGCTGTTGTTGTTGTATTCCCCTCGGCCCCGTCACCGGGGCGTAGTCGTTCGGCTCTGGAAGGACCGAAAGCCGGCGGCCAAGGCCGCCACCACGTCGTCCCGTCTCAAATCGGTGGGGCGTCCGTAAATGTTGCCCATGGCGAGGAGGCGGGCCCCGCAGAGGCACGGGCAGCGCAGCAGGACGTGTTGCGGGGTGTCCGCCTCCTCCTCGCACACCAGGCACCGGGCGGCCGGACAGCCAGTGTCCGCGCAGCCGGTGCAGGCGGCGGTCGGCCGGCGGCCGATACGGTGGAGGTATTGGGCTGACATGCTCCAGTGGCCGGCCCATCCAGCAGCTCGGCACGGGCGCTGACGCCGAATTAGACGAGGTCGATTGACCCAGACAGCTGCACATAAAGCCATGTAACACTCGACGAGCGCCTGCGCCTCTAGAGCAGCCCAAAGTTCATCTGTCGCCGTTGGAACAGCGATGGCCGCATTCCCTTTGACGGTCCGGGTGGCGGGTCGTCACCACTCGCCATCGTTCATTCCGTGCAGCGGTGACCCGTGCAGCTGATCCGTCGCCGGCTGGCAGGCAGCCTGCGGTTGACTCCGTTACTCGGCAGGTACAGCGTCTTCTGGATCGTTGTACTGAAATAAGAAAGGCGACATATTTATCAGATACACCATTAAACCAGAATGTGACAAATGAATGGGCCATGGGGAGGGGGGGGGGGGGTGGATGGGAAAATGTTAGAAACTTGATGCACATGCATAATTATGGTTGTATTCACTCACAACCTTAGGATCCACTTGAACAATAAATACCTCTCTTCAGTTTGTTGTTCAATTCCATAAGATCATATACATGGGAAATAGTTATCTCCAGCATGTAATAATCTGAAAGCATGGATCCAAATCCTCAGATTGCTTACAGATGCTACGAGATCAAGGGACATCGCACAGATCCATGCACATTTCTAGTCTGATTGAGATACCTGATAAATTATATTTTTCATTTAATTGATTGCTGCATTTTATCACAACACTTTTATCATGCCACATCACAAGTGTTGTGCATTAGTCATGCAGTTATAATTCAAGAACAAAAATCATAACTCCATAGAAGTTCACATGCATGAAATATTTCAAGCTCTAAATATTGAAGCCAGGCTCCCTTTTTCATCAGCACCCTCCAAGCTAGAAAAATGACACCCAACATACCTACAAGTTTTCAAACTGTAACGTAACATCAGTGATGACTGGTCTGTAATGTGACAAGATCTGGGAGCACATACTTATCAAAAGGAAAGTGAAGCAACAAAAGTAATGACTGAAAAAAAAAATCATGCATCATCACTGTAATATTGTTTATGATTTTTGATCATCTGGTTAAATACATCCGACAACATCATCTGAAAAATCCCACCACCCAACTCCAGTAGCACTAAGCAGTAGCGGCGGAACACCTTCAATTAAGAGGGGCACTACCGACTTTCGGTCCCATTCTTTCCATGCAACGCCCATACACTGAAAACAATTCAACCCGCGGATTGCGAGTTGGCCCGGGTATCGCGGGTATTTTGAAGAAATTACCCGCTCTGCGCGAGTTTTTGCTGCCGGGTAGGCTGACTACCCGTTTAGCTTCCCGCGTTTCGCAGAGCATCCCGTTATCATCGTAGCTTTCACCCGCTTCACGGGTGTCAACGCCCGCTATACTCGGGTAAAACAGCAACCCGTCATGCGCGGATACATGAAACCTCCTCTGGCGGGGTCAATCACTCGTCCGCAGCGGGTTGTGGCCGCAGGCGTTACTCGCGCCCACGGAGTAAGCGCATCACGCAGGTTTTGCATCGTGTAACTCGCTGCGCCAAGGTAGGTGACATGCTATACGCAGGTTGCCTTGATCACGCATGTGTCATGGCAGATATCCCACTGATGCACGGCATTGGTTTTGAAATTAATACTTTGGACTTCGACGCTCAAACGGGTGTGGAAATGTGACGCGCCACAATAGTCGCTTTTCGGCTCGGCTGCGTGCTTGTGCAGGCCTTGTGCAGGGGTAGAGATGTGCAAGGCAATTGTAATCGTAACTGTAACAGCTGTGGGGATGCGTTCTGTGAGTTAGGAGGGTACTTAACGGGCTTGGGACATTTGAATCATTGTTTGGATGACGTCACGTCTTGGCCGGCAGAATATTTCGCTGGAACGCTCAGCAGAATATTCTGCAGTCCGCGAATCTGGCGCATTGTGGTGAAGTTTGCAGACCGTTCTTAGCACATTTTATTGGTAAAAATAAGCCTGGATAAATAAATCTTTCCCGATGCAAATGAAATATTTGTCCAAACTATTCCTTAATATTTAAAACACTATAGGCGGATTCATGTCAATTGTCTAAGATAAGCCTTTTTACTTTCTGTATTGAGTCCGCCGTCAGTTCTTCATTTTAATCTGATATACACCGACATTTCAGTCGCTTTGCGTCAGGTCGCCTGTGGCGCAGTTGGAAGCGCATCGGTTTGTAATATCAAAGATATCGGGTTCTAATCCCGGTGATGGCGGCGTTTTCCTCCTTGAACGCCGCCACTGGAGGGTACTTTACCCTCCAGCTGATTTGGACACCCTACCAGCGGATATTTGTACTCGCAGAAAGCGAGTTCCCAACCCACGCAGCGCAGGTAATACGCCATGTGCGGATTGTGTACCCGCTGCGAACAGGTAGGTTGCCTTCTGTGTGTGGGTTGAGTCCCCATCCTATGCGGGTTAGGTACACAATATACTCGGGTTGACAGCCTGCGATATGCGGGTAAACGCACCCGCTGGTAGAGTGTCAAATTAGGTGGTGGGTAGGTGTACCCGCCAGCAGCGGGTTTTACTCGCTGTACGCGGGTTGAATTGTTTTCAGTGTATAGGGCTAATGTTAAAATGCCAAAAACAAAGGGGGGCACGGTGCCCCGGTGCCCTCCCCGTTCCGCCGCCTATGGCAACAAGCCAGCCTGGTAAGTCCAGTCGCTTATCATCTGATTTCTTAGTGAGGGCCAATTAATATTCAGGGCTGAAATTTTGCAAAAATAGAATTCATTATGAATATCTACACTGTATGCATCATGATTGACGTGATCCTATTTATCAGCACCTCAACCTAACCAAATCTTTGACAAGAGCATTACTTCGTTTATCACTGATGGACTGACCAATGATCTGAAAGTGCAATATTTAACAACTTTTCACCTAATAACATTTTTTGCAAGCTTAATACAGTTTTACCATGAATGAGATAACACTCATCTCATTATCCCATCCATGGTTTTACCTTTGTGCATTTAACCTTACCAGAGAACTGCGGCAAATTCATAAGCCCTCAATCAACAATTAACATGAGATACGAAGAAGAAACATGAAGAAATGTGGCTCTCATAATTTTTGCCATCTCAATTTACCTTATAGAGCTTACCTTTATTGAAGTAGAAGAATAATCAACCGTTTCTCACTAAATTCGTAATCGTCGACGCCGTAGTCCGGAATCGCTGCGCTGCGCTGCGAGTGGGGGATGGTGTGCAGTGCGCATGCGCAGTAGCCGCTACCCGGGCCCCATAGCTCATAGCTCACCGACGCCGGCGCCGCTCGGGCGCCTCGGCCAGCCGAAGCAATCTCCGAGGGAGATGGCCAGAGGCTGCCATATGTGGGCTGCCATAGGCCACCGAGATGGCCAACAGAGGCGAGCCCAGACACGGGCGGTTGTCGGCCGCCAGCTAAGCCATCTAGATGGCCTGGGCAATGGCGGTCTCAGGCACTCCACAGTCGGTGCCAGTTCAGCACTGTGTTAACGGGTATATTCCTGGGCTCGCCTCTGTTGGCCATCTCGATGGCCTATGGCAGCCCACATATGGCAGCCTCTGGCCATCTCCCTCGGAGATGGCTTAGCGGTGCTAATAAGCAGTCTTGTGCTAATCGGCGGCCGTCGATTCCTCGGCAGAGGCGTCTGCGCATGCGCACTTGCCAACATCCTATCGTTTTTCTCATTTACCGTAGTCGTCGCCCCGCAGGCTCCGCGCTCTGCAGTTGATTTCGAGTTTTCGACTCGTCGACGTTTGCGAATTTAGTGAGAAAATATTGCAGATACGCCTATTTCAATTAAGATGAGGTGTTTCAGGTAAGTCAGCATGGCGAAAATTATTACAGCCACACTTTTTGATGGTTTGTCTCATATTTGTTGATATTTCATCGATTGAGTGCATGCGCATTTGCCGCGCTTTGATGGCACTGGGGATACACAAGTATTAGCAATTGTACAACCCAGGTAAAGCCTACTCAAGTTGCTGTTAAGTGAAAAATTAATTAAATATGGCACGTACAGATGATTTTTCTTACATTCATTAACATACGTTCGGGCAAAATTCTGCCATACAATTGGAATTGCCGATTGCGCGATCGGGTGGTGGGGTCAGGGTCAGCACAACAAGCTATGTTTAGTGCGGGCTCTGATTCCTCAAATCCACCCATTCAACCATTCGGACTAAATTTATAAAAAAAAAAACAATTTATGATAACCAAAGAAGGATGTTTTAAAGTTTTAACCCGTCTCAGTCTCATCGTTTAAAGCTTAAAGGGAGATTATGACCTTTTTCCACAAAATCTGAGTTAGGACCATTTTCTGACAAAACACAACAAGTTATAATGTAAATTAAAACCATTTTGCTCAATTCGGTACCTTGCCGCAAATATCTCAACTTGAAGTCACGTTAGCGGGGAGCGCTGAAAATGACCGTTGAATAAGTACTTACATCACTTTTTGGTACTTGCATGTAATTTTGTAAAATGAGCGTATTCATTACATTTGATCTTCATCACATCTAGTTAGTTAATGGTCGTCTATAGTGCCTTCAAAAGATATTCATGGTTTGGGGGTGGTTTATGTCTAAATTTACGCAACTATTTTTCCTGTTCATCATCTGTCGCCATATGCTGCTATTTTAGTAGCAACGACTCAATTTTGAATCGGTCCCGCCGACTGCACAATAAAAGAAGATAGATACAACACTTTTGCGGCATCACTGAAAAACTTATGCAGTACTGTTATCAAAATTTTCATAACACCGTTCGACAAACCTGAAGTCTTTTTGAAATAAATATGCTTGTATTTTTCGCTTCAGGCTCTGAGGCCAAAATAATGAATTTCGTAGTCGCAATCGCAAGATTTGGCTGCGATTCTGGCGCATGCCGTTCATTTGTGGCGCAAAATAATACTTGGAAACAAAGAAGAGTAGGCACTATGTACCCCCGAATTAGAATCTAATTAATTCTAAACCGAATTGACTCTAATTCAAATTAGAATCCTTACAACCAAGCAACGACAAGGCGATAACATAAACAAAAATCCAAGCGTCGCTGTTTGAAACAAAAGCGCCATATACTGCGACTTTTTTTATAGAGAAGGACAACGCATTTCGGTGGGTGTTACAAGTACTGCAAGTACTGCTTCTTTTTTGCAAAAATAAAAACCTTTTTCACATACGAAAATGTGCTAGGAAATTTTCATATTTTATAGAAACTACAGTAGAAATAGTATAGATGTCGAGTAATTTTTATTTAAGAAAAAAGAAAGCTCATAATCTCCCTTTAAGTTAAAAGCGCATGTGAGGTCACGATACCTTAGATACTGACCAGCCATATAAGCAAAAGAAATCACCTCCCAATTTTTACTTCTGACTTTCTGTTACACCTGCTGCTCAATTTTTGCTGTATTGATTTGTGCTCTTTGAACGATTAGACGGGCTTGAAAAATCCTACTCAAAACCATTTCAACTTCTGAGTGTTGCTATGTGCCGATACCAATATTTAGGATTGCTTACATGAAATGTCATGAATATGCTACCTAGGTATTAAGTATTTCACTATGTTTTCCCAGCTCCTGTAATGATTTTTATTAAAGCCAGGCAAATGCATTGGCATAATTTCTGACAAATAGCTTGCCGACGAACACTGTTGCTGTCTACCAGGGGGTGTCAGGGCAGAAAGTGAAGACTAGGAGTGCAGTTATCATACATATATCTCATATGGAAACAAATATATTTGTGTCTTCATTAATATTGTATGCATTAAATACCTAAGAGTAATTATTTGTTTTAAAAAAATCAATTGGTTATGCTGCACCTAGGGCAACTCAGATGGTCAAATCTGTGAAGCTCTAATACAATGTATTATGCATTATTATGCCAGAGTATTTCTCATAGTATTTTTTTTCACTGTACTTTCCCTCAGTGTTTCCCAGATCATATTCATGTCATGTCAGGTCAAATATTGCTATCACTTAAGTAAGCTTTGAAAGCTTGACTTGTCATTTGTGGCATGAGGGGTTCATGACATAAAATGGGCTATGCACAACATTTTTTTAGCTTAAATTATTATCTTCATGAACCTTTGCCTGTTATTTGTGACTGACAACCATACATGACTTATATGTAACTATTCTATTGATAATGTCAAACCTAAGTGTTATTGACAAAATGCACCCAGCCATCCATGACATGACAAAGCTAATTCATCAGGTTTGGCAATCAGACATGTGCATGAATCATAGTTATTAGGATCTCATCTGAAATGAAATTGAAAATTAGGTTCTTATGGCTTCATTTTATCAATTGTTGAAAAAAATATTTTTATATCTTTACATAATCTCGTTTCATTGCACAACAAATTTCAGAGAGGGATTTATTATCCAAGTGGATATAATGGGGTTGGGAACTCGATTTTTTAAGAATGCATGAAAATGATCAAACTATTTTCACAGAATTTATGGTGCATACCATTGCCTCATAAAATCAATATGCTGAGAGAAATGGGGGAAGAAAGATAGGAAACTTGTTTTGAAAAGTTCTTGAAAAAAGATGCTCTTGATGCTGTTACGTCACATGTCACCTTCTGCGGTTGACAAATAATGGCGCATCTGGCGCACCACAGATTACATGTTATGTCAATGGGTAAAAGATGTTGTTTGTTTCACTCTGCCATTCGCGCTGTTTTTAACTTTAAATTATGCTAAAACATTTACGGATGAAATGTTCAGTGTCAAAAATTGATGTGTCTGCCGTGTACTATATTTCCACTTAACATTGAGCGCGTGATAAACATTTTATGTACCTCGAATTTTCAAATGATAAAGATGATGAATCGGAGGATGCTGAAAAGCAAAAGCTCATTCCGATATTTGGACTACTTTACGATTAAAATGTTTACATTCCTGTCATCTTATTGATCATTTATTTGTTCTTTTTTTATGAAAATAACTTAAGGCGTTGAGAACCGAGGTAATTTCTATCTACCGTGCCTTAACTTACCAGCAACAGCAATCTATCTACGCCCTACGGTGGCAAGGGAGACTGTGAAAGAAGCGTAAGATGGATTCTAAACAATTCTTTTGTGATATACTGAAGGGCAAAGTGCAGAGAAGAGCGTACAAGTCCTGTTTTGTGCCAGGCTGTTGCAGTAGCACTTATGAAACTCCGAAAACGATCTTCGTTCATGTCCCGAACAACATTACCCTGAGGAGATGATCGTCTGCAATAGCAGGAAGAGCTGATGCAAGTACTTTGAAATCCACTATCAAGTCGGTGCTATTGTTGTAATGATCACTGTGAGGTGAGATATTTTGTGCAAGGGCTGAGTGTAATGCCCAGGAGATGACCTCTATTCGCCCCCTGACCGGTCAGGGTTATCAAATTTGAGTGGATGGCGGTCCGTTTGGGGTTCAGATGTCAATTGTATTTTGTTACTGTCAAACAATACATGTTATGCTGGCAGCGAATGTGTGTAACGTCGGTTTTCGAAACAGAAGTTAGAACTGTAACGGCAGAGTGCTTGCTGGTCTCATCGTAAGTATTGTAAGTGTTGTAAGCAAAAGCATTGTCAATATTGTAAGTATTGTGAGCATTGATGTATAGTAGATATCACCTCACATGATCTCGGCTCAGATAACCCTCCCCGGTGTCCCTGTCAGTAAATGGCACCTGGATCATTACAGATAAGATAATTTATCATAATTCTTAAAGAATTGGGTGGTTTTGACTCGTTTACTCGAGGTGCAGGTCGCATTTCAATACTTTTCCATAGGCTTGCAATGTAAAGGTCACGACTCTGACCTAACCTCAGGTCACAGATCAAAAATTCTGAGATATACAAACGACACATACTGCAGGTACTGTTTTGAAGACTTGATAAGAGGAAATAACTTCGTGAAAAACTCAAGCTCTGACGTGTTTGCAAACTTTTCTGAGGTGGGGTCAACAAACCCGCTCTGGTTACCTGACCTGACCTGACCCGGCATTTTTTTTTTTTTTTGCTGAGATGTGCGCAATGAGCATTTAGGAAAAGTCACCAAATATGAGCTGAATGTCTCGCGGCGTTTGGCAATTGTACAAGAAAATCCTGAAAGGCCTCCCCGTCCGAAATAGGGTTAATGTGTATATGAAGAGTTGCAGATGCCAAACATACCCAGATCTAAGACTGCAGTTCCCAGCGCCGCTGCAACGTTTTTAAAACAAACATACATAGGACATACAAACATGTTTATTTGCATCTGTTTTGGATACTAGCAACTCATGGCGCCATCATCCGCGATAACTGTTAGGATTTGAGATATATTTTTTATTTAGGCCATTAGTTTGGCTGTAATGTTTATTAATATTAGTTGGGCGGAGTTTGGTAGTTTTTTATTTAACTTGTGGTATGTTGTGCTGATTGCGGGTTGTTCAAACCTTTCAAATGTAAGGACCTTATTGAACTCAACCCTACCCCTACACTACCCTACATACGACTGGACGCTTTCCAAGCCCACAAGCATCACGAGCACGACGCCGCGATGGAATGTAGCCGGGAAATCACCCTCGCCATCTGCTCTAGAGCTAATCGTGTGGGGCGCCGCTTAGCCTATGGGGGTGCACTTCTAGTGGATGGGGGACGGGGGTGCACCTGCACCCCTTTCATATGGAAAGTTACTTCCCTGATTACAGCTCCCCGTATTGCACCTAATCAGGGAACGGCCAGCAAACGAAGGAACTATTTCTGGATGACAGGCGAATAACCGCTCACGCAAGGAGCGGAGCTCCGCCCCGTCCAAAGTGGCCAACAAAGCAGAGACAGAGGCAGCATCACATCTTCCATCAAAGAACTGGTTTCTGGCTTGGAAGATGAGCTCCATCTTTGCATCCGAGTCGGTGCTGTCAGGAATCAGTTGGTCTAATGGAGTGAGAGTAGTGAGACGACTAGCTATTGTATCAGAGCTGCCTGGTCTTCGTAGCATTTGCACCGATTCTTCTCGATCGGACTCTGAATTCTGTCCCTCCTGCGTATTACTTGAGGCATTGCTATGTAGGTAAGTCTTTGGCAGAGTTTCATTATCCATGCTTTGCAAACAGTGCCATAACAACACAGTTAATTAATCACCAAGCTTCTTTGCAAGTTCCAATACAGTTGAATCGCACGCGATTTGAGTGCAAAAATCAAGAAAAGTGCCAACTTGTTCCCGTAAAATATTTTGAATATTGACCTAAAAAAATGAGTAATTTCCAGATAAAATAACAGCGAAATCAGTTTGCGCTTGCCAATAAAACTCACAGATATTGAAGCTTCATTATTAAAGGAACATTTTAGTATATGCCATTCTTGATAAAACTTCTTAGCCACGCAATACCAGCGCAAAATAAAGAGACACTGAAAACACGACCAATCACTCCGATTTACCATAGGAAAATACATAGAAAATGTATGTCTCAACTGCGCCAAATATACAGACAGTTATATACCTACATGTGACGTCATGATTAGCCCGACCAATCAGAAGCAAGTTGTTTTCAGCCACAAATAATTAATTTCTGAACTAACTAGGCATTTTTTTAACAAAGTGATTTTAAATTAAATCATTAAAAATTCTGAGCTTTTTTATTTTACCAAAACATACAGAGCATGCAGATAGGTCCCAACCCTATTCCAGGGCATGAAACTTTTGGAGTGAAATAACAGCCATAATTGTTCATAGCAATCATAGCCCCAGATTTCTGGCATTTGTCACATAGCTCGCTCACTTGTCACATTCCCATATATTTGTCCCATTTTCCACTCAATGATTTATCTAATAAATCTTTTGCATTTCTGATTTCAGTTAAATGATCCAGCAGGCGGCGGACGCTGTAGCTGTCGAGTGGTAGAATCACGAAGAAATGGCAGGCTACCTGCCAATCGGCGACGAATCAGCCGTCACTGCTGCACGGGATGGATGATAACGAGAGGCAGCGGTCCTGGTCGTTGAAGGGGAAGCGGCTATCGTTGTTCCACCGGTGACAGATGAACTTTGGGCGACCGAAAGGCGCAGGTAGTAGTCCCGTGTCACGTGGCATATAAGCACAGCTGTATGAGTCATTTAACCTCTTCTTCGGCGTAAGTGCCCGTGCCGAGCTGCTATATGCAGACGATCATTACGCGTGATCATTACACACACGTGTTACAGCCGTGTGTGACGGTGCACCGCTTAGATGTTTCTGTGGTTTCCTGACTGGTTGAATGCGCGACTTTGAGTGTAGATAACCCACCTGTCGGAATGCCGCGGTCCGTCAATGGGCCGTTTGAGTGTCTGCTGTTCGTGCTCTGCGGGCGAGAGGGCCGTTGCGTCGGAGCTGACGGAGTTTTTTTTTGCGTATTAGTGTACAGTGATATGCGATATTGGTCAAATATAAAGTCAAATCTGATTAGTTTTCACCCAGAAGTTTCGTTCGCCCCGATCTGCACACGTGTGTAGCTGCCGATAAATGGGTACTGTGAGTGAGTACTGACTACTGTGATGAGTTACAGAGCTTTAGGGGTCGCGGCATGATAGCTGTCCTGTTGCCTTGGTCAGTTTGCTGGACATTATGGCAGCCGTAACTGATTGCCTAATTCAGTTTGGCCTAGGAATTTTGCTTTTGCTCTCCCCTTCCCAGTGCACCTTCCACTGCGCCCCTGGCTGCCCGCCCCGAAAAGCCCCATGGTGCCCCTCTAGCGGTGGCGGCGACGGCCCTCGGCCGTCTTGACGCGCGGATGTCAGCGTGGACTGTTCGATGCTGGTGACCGCCGCGACAGGCCCCTCGTCCCCGGGGTCCCCCTCGACAATCATCTGCCGCTCGTCTTCGTCCACCTCGTTCTCCGACGGAATGCTGTGTCGTTCTCGTGCAGCAGCGGCGGCGCCATTCACCACCGCCCGCCGCAGTCCCAATGACCGAACCGTTAGTGGAGCGCAACCCGTGCTTATTAGCTCTAATCCGTTGATCTGCCGCTCCGGCTTCCGGCAAATTATTTGTTAATACCGTCTTTGCCATATATCGGCAACAATATTAGCCATACCTACGTACTTTGCGATTCGTAGTGCGCACTTTTGGCCGCAACCCGGCACGACGCTGTTTCCGAACCAGAAACAACACGATCATTAAGCATTAAGCCTAATAAAATCTCATACATCAGTCATGGATATCAACCGACGTTGGTAGTTGTGACTTGTGGTTCTCGTGTGGCTCTCGCAGTGGTGCGCACTACGCTTATTTGGAAATCTGTCCCCTCTAAAATCCCTTCTCGATAACTCGCCATAATTACATAATCGTACTCGCCGTATTACATGAAGTTTAAAAAGTCTTTCATGTTTTTGCATTATAAGCATCAATCGAAACGTATTTCGTTATGATTGGTGGTCAGACGATCACTCGCACTGCGTCTATGAATTTCTGCAGCTCTACCGCTGGAGCCGCAGGAGCGCCGCCGTGCCGGTTGGTATATAACTAGTAGAGAAAGTAGTTGTTAATATGGTATATAGTTTCATAGGCGAAAATTTACTTATGTTGAAATAAAAATATACCGGAATGAGCTTTTAAGGCTCTTTTGTATTGAATGCTTGTTTAAAAATTCATATTATATGGTCCAATAATTAATTTTCGGACACACCTAGTTCCGACTGAAAATGGCTATGTGGTAGATACTAGAAATGGCCAAGAGGTGCTAACAGTCCCAAACTGTCCCTTGTGAACAGGGCAGCAGGTATATACCCATTAACACAGTGCTGAACTGACACCAGCTGTAAAGTGCCTGAGACCGCCATTGCCCAGGCCATCTAGATGGCTTAGCTGACGGCCGACAACCGCTCGTGTGAACAGCTATAATGTGAGTTCTTTATTCCACGTCTGCGATTGCGCGCCCACTTGGCGCACAGCCAACCAGAACACATCCACGCCCTGCGCGGGCCGGCGGCCGACTGCCGCACAACCGGCGACCGGTTTCCACCTGGCGGTCGCTAACTGAACTACGCGTAGCCAGGCTCACGATACAACACCCTGCCCCCCTGGATTTGAGTTCGAACATCGAACTATCAAACTTAACTTACTCAACCTGCGAGCCACCACAAACTAGTCAAATCCAGTCCGGTCACTTACGGCGTCAACACTGCCGCCTATTTTAGTGCGATCACTGACATCGCTCACATCCGTGCGATACGAACATAACTACAAATTCACTGACTTTAGAGTCGCGCACGTCTGCCCTTACACTGCTTATCAGTCTGTACTTCCAAACGATAATAACTAATCAGTCATCACCCTTCTCGGCGGTACAAATTGACCCACACTTTCCCTGGCCAATCACATCTGTTATCCACCTTATCGGTGGCACCTATTGACACATAGAATCACATATTCTTCCGCTCGATCCTTCCGCCCGATCACATCTCCGTAAAATCACGTATTTTCCCGCCCGATCACATCTCAGTTATCCACCTCCTCGGTGGCTGAGAGTGACGCACGGACAACCGCCGCCGCACCTCTGCCGGCGGTCCTTTACAATCGCCGCCGCGCGCGCCATGTCCTGTCCCACCGGCGCCGCTCACCACTCCCGGCGAAGCGTTAGGCTTGCTACCGCGCGCGCCGCCGGTCCCACCAGCACCGCTCACCGCTGCCGGCGGTCCGTCAGTAGCGCCACCGCGCGCGCGACCTGTTCCTTCGGCATCGCTCACCGTCTCTCCACCGCTCGCACGAGGGCCACCAGCCCGATACAGATCCGCTGCGTCGCCGCTACACTCTGTGAATCCGCTCGCTGGGGGTGTCACCACTCAGCTGTCTCCACCGTCGCCTCCGCTGGCGCCGGCACCGGCCCCGCCGATCGCCCCCGGTACAGCCGACCTGATGCCTTCACTGGAGATCCTGCCGGCAGCGCCGGGCGGCGCCGGCACGGCCGTCCTCGCGCCGCCGCTGGCGCCAGCACCGGGCTCGCCGAGCGCCGCTGGCCGGTCCGTCCCGGCAGCGGCCGCCCGCTGGCCGGTCCGCACTGGCTCCGCGCTGATGAGTTGATCGACGTGCCGCGACCAGAGAGCATCGGCAACAGCTATCTCATACGACACCGGTCCGGTCCGTGCGGCCACCGTCCCCAGTCTCCACTTCTGCGGGCCGCTGTAACATCTAGCCCACACCGTGTCTCCGATGTTCAGCTCCCTGTGCCGGCCGCCTGCCGCCTCCCGTTGCCGTTGCTGCTGATCCCGAAACCTGTCCATCGGATCGGGCCGCAGCATATCCAGCCGCGTCCGCACGTTCCGGCCGAACATCATTTCGGCTGGCGATCGTCCCGTGCCCGAGTGCGGTGCCGCCCGGTAGGCCAGCAGAAACTTCTGCAGCCGCTGTGACAGAGAACCACCATCCCGCAGGGCCGCCTTCAGTCCGTTCTTGGCCGTTTGCACCGCCCGCTCCGCCGCTCCGTTGCTGCTCGGGTGATATGGTGCCACCCTGACGTGCCGCACTCCATTGTTGCTCAGGAATGCAGCGAACGGAGCAGAGGTGAACTGAGCACCATTATCCGACACGAGTTGGCGGGGGATGCCGAAACGCGCAAACATCGCCCGCAGCTCTCTCACAGTGCTCTCTGTGCCCGTCTCTCGCATCGGGATCACCTCCAGCCACTTGGTATAGCTGTCGCACACCACCAGAAAGTTCAAGCCCTGGAAGGGGCCCGCATAGTCTATGTGGATACGCTCCCACGGGCCTCCGGCCGGCTCCCACGGGTGCCGATCACTGTGTGGCGGCGCTCCTCGCTTGTCCATGCACTCTGCGCAATCGCGTGCCGCGCCCTCGAGCTCTGCATCCAGCCCCGGCCACCACACATATCGCCGAGCCAAGTTTTTCATTTTTGAGCTGCCGAGGTGCCCCTCATGCAGCTCACGCAGCACCCGCGCCCGGAGCTGCTGTGGGATGACAGCACGGCCGCCCCACACGAGACACTCGCCCTCCGTCGACAGCTCGTCCTGGCGCCGCTTGAAAGGCACCAGCTCCGGCTCGACCTCAGCCGGCCAACCGCACCGGACGAACGTTAGCACCCTGGCCAGCACTGGATCGCGCCGCGTGGCTGACGCAAGCGCCTCTGCCGTCAGCACCGGCGCCGCGCCTTCCATGTAGCACAGGAAGCTGACGTCGGCTCCTTCTCTGTCGATCTTCTCTCGCTCGACACCCGAGCACGGCATGGCCAGGCGCGACAGACTGTCGGCCATGTGCATGTGCTCGGACCGGCGCAGCTCCACTGCGTAGCTGTACGCCGCCAGCTGCAGCGCGTACCTCTGGAGGCGGGCGGCCGCCAGGCTCGGCAGGTCTCTGTCCGGGCTCAGGATCCGGGATAGAGCCCTATTATCCACCACGAGCGTGAAAGGCCGCCCGTACAGGAACCGATGGAAGCGGGTTATCCCGAATGACACCGCCGCCGCCTCGCGCTCGACTTGTGGGTACTTCCTTTCTGTGGGCGTCAGCGTCCGTGACGCATACATCACCGGCCTCTCCGCCCCGTCCGGTGTCACGTGAACCAGCGCCGCGCCGACACCCACACTGCTGGCATCTGTCACGAGCCTCAGCGGCAGGTCCGGGTCATACCGCATCAACACCGGCGGGCTAGTCAGCATCCGTTTCACCTTCTCCACCGCCTTGGCGCACTGCTCTGTCCATGCCCACGGCACGCCCTTCTTGGTCAGCTGATAGAGCGGCGCCAGCACTGTCGACAGATCGGGCAGCAGACGCCCGAAGTAGGTGATGGAGCCCAGGAGCGACCTCAGTTGGCTGACGTCCGTCGGCTCCGGTGCCTGCAGCACTGCTGCTACACCGCCGTCAGTCGGTGCGATGCCCTCAGCCGTCACCTTCCACCCCAGGAACTCGACTTCTGGCACCGCCAGCTGGCATTTCTGCGCCGCCAGCCGCAGGCCCTGCCGCTCCAGTCTTCCGAGGATCTCGTCCAGCCGCTGCAGCAGCTGTTGCTCGTCCGCTCCGAACACCAGTAGGTCATCCAGGTAACACCGGCATCCCTCCTGTCCTTCCAGGACCCGGTCCATGGCCTCCTGGAAGAGGGCGCCGGAACTGGCGACCCCGAACGGCAGTCTCTTCATGACGAATTCGCCCTTGTGAGTGCTGACGGTCGTCATTGCTCGAGACTCCTCATCGAGCGGCATCTGCTGGTACGCATGCTTTAGGTCCAGCTTGCAGAACAGCTTGCCACTCACCCCTGCGAACACATCTTCCGGCTTCGGCAGCGGGTGGTGCTTGACGATCAGCTGCGGGTTCACTGTGAGGTTGTAGCTCGCACAGAGCCTCACCCCGCCTCCCGGCTTCGGCACCGGAACCAGTGGCGTGCCCCAGCCTGTACTGGTTTCGGACGGGTCGACCTTTCTTGCTATCCCGTCTCTGACCCATCGGTCCAGCTCGGCCTCCACTTGCGGCAGCAGCGCGTATGGTACGGGTCGCGGTGGTAGCCGCCGCGGCACCGCGTCCGGCTTTAGGGTCAGGTGCGCGCGCTGCTCCATCGTGCCGAGGCCCCCTGCAAACACTGCTGCGTGCGCCGCCGTCACTGAGCTCAGCGTCCGCCCGCCGCTCACTTTGCTGGCCTCGCTGACCTGCAGCAGCGACCGCCAGTCCAGACGTATTTCACGCAGCCAGTCGCGCCCCAGCAGCGGGTGGTGTCGGAGCTGACCGCTGACAACCACGTTCAGCCGCTTCCGCTGGCCGCCATACTCCGTCTGCACGGTCGCCTCGCCGCGGACCGGCACCGGCTGACCCGTGAACGAGCGTAGCTGCATCTTGGACGGTCTCAGCTTCAGTCCCGGGATGCTGCCGTCCGCCACGATCGACACTGGTGACCCGGTGTCAACCAGCATCTCAGTCTCCCGGCCGTTGACAGACAGAGTTACCAGTGGCAGCCGGTCCTGGCTCGTCAGCTGCGCCACCGTCATCACGACATCCTCCTCCACGGACGCCACCTGTCCGATTCCTGGACAGTCCCGCTTCAGGTGTCCAGTTCTGCCACATTTGAAGCACCTCCTCTTCTCGAGCGGTCCGCCGCGTCTGCTGTCTCGCCGACCGCCGTCTGCCGGGCCGGGCGGGCGAGACACTCCGCGCTGCTGCACCGCTCCTGCCGCCGGAGGGCGCGCCCTCTCCGGCGCCGAGTCCGCCCTGGCCGTCGGACAGTCCCGCCGCCAGTGTCCCCGGCCTCCGCAGCCGAAGCACGAGCCCGGTCCCGGGCGCTCGGCCGGCCTGGCCGTCTCCGCCCGCCGCTGGCGTCTCACCACCTGGACTGCCTCCCCGTCCGTCGCAGCCGGCACCGGCGCCCCTGACAACCGAGTCGTCAGGTCCATGACGTCCCGGTGGGCGCGTGCCGTCCGCCGGACATCCTCCAGGTTGAGTTCGTCGCCCTTCAGTGCCGCTTCCCTCACCAGCTTCCGCTGCAGCTCGCCTCGGCTGCCCAGGACGCAGCGGTCTCGCAGCTCCCGGTTCACCTGCGCCGGCTCGTAGCCGCAGCGCAGGATTTGGGTCCGTAGCCTGGCCAGGAAGTCCTCCAGGCTTTCCTCCGGCTCCATTGTCATTCCTTGGAATTTCCCTCGTTCAGCCACGACGTTATTCCTTGGCACCAGGTACCGTACCAACTTCCTTTTTAGCCGGGTGAACTCGTCTTCCTCCGGTCCTTCTGCCTCCTCTTCCGGCAGGGAGTCGCTGACATCGGCTATGTCAGGCCCCACCAGGTGTAGCAGCACGGCGCACCGTCTGGTAGGCCCTTGGATGTCCATGGCGACCATGTAGCGCTCCAAAGCTCGCAGCCATTACTCGAAGTCCGTGCCTGCCCGGTACGGCCCCGCAGACACCAGCTGCATGCCCGTTGGATCCATCGCGCTGCCGTGCTCTCACCAGCGCGTCGTTCCTCCGGCCGGCCCGCCGCCGCTCCACCGGTCGGCCCGCCGCCGCTCCACCGGTCGGCCCGCCGCCGCTCCACCGGTCGGCCCGCCGCCGCTTCACCGTCGGCTCGCTCCGGGCGTCACCGCTCACACCGGCCGGTCACCGCACAAGCCGGCCGGTCACCGCACAAGCCGGCCGGTCACCGCACACGCCGGTCGGTCACCGCACACGCCGGTCGGCCACCGCTCACGCCGGTCGGCCACCGCTCACGCCGACCGTCACTGCTCACCGCGCCGCCCTGCGCCCGTCTTGGCGCTGTCGGCTGCGGTTTCCCGCGCTTTACTCGACGGGGGCGTCACGTGGTAGTGACGTCACACACACGTCACCGCGCGCGCATGCGCACTCGTCCCGAACCGCTCGGCCGCGCGCCAGCTTCCCGCCGAAATTATCCGCTTGGGGACCAGGCACCTCAAACCGCATTGAGGCCCTCTCCGCCGCACCAATCGGCCAATCACACGCGCTGCCACAGCTGCGCGTCACCCCCGGCCGACCAATCAGCGTGCAGCACGCCGACGCATGCGCCACGCACACCACACTGCCGAGGCATCATGGCCGCCACAAATGGCGATCACATGGAAATCCTGCCACGACCACGGCCGCCGCGCGACAGGCAGACTACCAGCAGCAGCGCGAAAATAAAAATACTAAGCAATACTAAGCACTAAGCATTCGTACTAAGCAACGTTTGCGCCCTCACCGTCCGTGGCCTGTCCGCCCTCGCTGACCACCGCGCACTGATCACTGGCCCGTTTCGCCATCACAGCTCCAAGGCTTCACCTTGATCTGATCCTCGTCGCCAATTTGATATAATGTGAGTTCTTTATTCCGCGCCTGCGATTGCGCGCCCACTTGGCGCACAGCCAACCAGAACGCACCCACGCCCTGCGCGGGCCGGCGGCCGACTGCCGCACAACCGGCGACCGGTTTCCACCTGGCGGTCGCTAACTGAACTACGCGTAGCCAGGCTCACGATACAACAATACCCTCGTCAGAAGCAATGCGTGCACGTGCGTTTGAAAATCCATTGTTGATCACACGGCCTGTCTCATAGCCACATGACAAATTTAATTTTGCGGCCGATACTGATAGGGCTCCCAAAGGTGCAGTTGGCGCCCCAGTAGTGGTGTGGCGCCCCAATCGTGTCTGGGCGCCCGAATGTTGATAGGGCTCTTCAGTCGTGGTAGGCGCCCAAGTGCTGGTAGGGCGCCCCATTGCCGGTAGTGTGTCCCAATCGAATTAGAGAGTCCCATAGCTCAGTTGGTAGAGCACCGGACTCCCGGTAGTGAGAGCCCGGGTTCGAGTCGCTCCGGTGCTCGATATTTGAGACTCCTGACGGGGATGGTCTGCGGTTGGTGGGAGCAGCCGCAGCCAGTTGAAGTCAGTTGAGTGGGACAGGTTGTGTCCGGCTTTGAAGGGCACGTTAAACTTAGGCATCTAAATTATTCCGTTACCCGGAATTGCGCGATCAGACGGTAGGGGTCGGGGTCTACGCAACAAGCTCTGCTTAGCGTGGGCTCCGGCTCTGTCAATCCGTCCATTCAAACATTCAAGCTAAATTTATAAAAAAGTAGGGCGCCACAGTTGCGGCAGGGCGCCCCCAGTAGTGAGAGGGCATCCCATTGGTGGTGGTGGCGCCTCAGTGAGCCCTTTTCCTCCTGTCAAGCTGAGTTCGCCCCAAGAATGTGTCGCCTCCGTGATTGTCGGCAGCCAATATCTGTGGGCAGACTTTTGGGCTGTTTTGCACTGGGGTGGCAAAGCAAGACGACTGGGGTGGAAAACCGCACCACTGGGGTGGGTTTTGCCACCCCAGTTAACATGTTAAAATAGGCCCTGTCGTAAGATGAACCACACATAGGGAACTGATAAGCCTCAAAACATTTCAAAACATCTTGAAAGTTAGCACGCAAGATGTGCGAAAAAGTGCCAAGTTTGAGGTCAACTTTGAGCGTGACCTTGACCTTGACCTTTGATTTTGAGCACAGTTTCGGAATCCTCAGATTCTCTTCTTTCGTTTGACACCCAATTTTGCCGGTTTGATACAGCCTGCCGTCCTCTAGAAGGCTTACTTTGAGATCACTACACATGTGCCGGTTTTTGCCTTTGACCTTGACCTCTGACCTTGAAAATTGACCTGAGGTCAAAAATTTTAGGTGCTTTAGAATCGTCTCGTAAGGACCTTTCGATTGGTATCGCTTTTGTTTCCGTAGCTCCCTTATTTACGGAGTTAGACAGGGGGGGGGGGGCGAAAAACGCCCCCCCCCGGGCTGCGGTGGTTGGGATTACCCCCCGGGCCCGGCCGGGTTAACAATCGGACATTGTACGTTTGTTAACTTTTTGCCCCACCAACTTTCCTGGGAAAGCTCCACCCATGCTGACAACTTTGACATTTGTTTAGTAGAACGAGAGCCGAACGTTCTTTCCGTGGCCGGTCAGGCGGGCCGAGAGCGCCGGGTCTTCGAGTCGATAAGGGTCATTTCACGCTTCTGTGTGGCTGACTTTGGTCCATCGTGACACTGAGCTGTGTGATTGCGCCTTATTTTCGGCTGTGGGAGACGCATATTAATGTTTGGAAATATTGCTTCGCTAAATATTGTTCTTTCGGCGTTCAGCTTTCACTGGAACTCAAAAATACATGTTTATGTTTTCAAGAATGTCCGGGACAGCCCGTTGAATAAAAGATTATTAAGTTTTTAGAAAAACGCAATTTTCAAAAAAGGCCATCGATCGATTTTGATAAAAAATACATTTTTGGATTCAGCTCACCGTAAGCTTTCGAATGGTATACATCGTTTCTTTTAAAGGAAATAGTTCACTTTTTAACATGGGTTTTGAACTGGAATAGCAGTTCCGTAGCCTGGGCTGAGACGAGCATAAATCAGGAGCTTTTACAGCCCAACGATCACCCTAGGCAAAGATATTCTATTTCTCGTCCCGAAAAAGGTGTCGATGTGTGCCTTGCATATATTCGCATCCAGTATGAAAAGAGCATGGGTACCGAAAATTCTTCAGAAACTAGAGAAATTATCTACGAGAACTCTAGAGAAATTCTCGTACTGACCAATAAGGACATTCAGCAGCAGCAGATCGCCCAAATGCCGGTGGCCGCGATAATTTCTCTAGTTTCTGAAGAATTTTCGGGACCCATGCTCTTTTCATACTGGATCGCCTGTGCCTTACAGAAACTGAAAAGTTCTTCCTATATCAAAATATAGAAAATAATCTTTTGTTATAAATAGGTTTTATTTTCTTTGCTGATCATTTTGAACATAAAAAATCATAAATCCATTGCAAAAAAAATAATTTCGTGAAAGTGAACTATTTCCTTTAAGCCTGAGATGACCTTCCGACGAACCGTGGCCGACAGCCAGCCGGCAGCTCTCTTGTGGCGGCCGTCGGCGCCGCTCAGTGACCCACGGGGCCGGCGCTGAGGTGCCGCGGCGCGCCGCCCCCCGAGCTACCCAGTGGCGGCCCGTGGACACGCGGCTGGTGACGCACCGCCCCGCCGCGCCCCACCTGGGCCGTGACCTGGCCGGCGGCGGCGGTGGCGGCGGCGGCGGCGGCGCGCCGGACGGTCACCAGTAGAGCTCCGACAGAGTCTCGGACCGACCGGACCGTGCAGCGAGCAGCGAGCCGGGCAGCCGCGCCGAGGGGCGGGCCGGGCGGCCGAGCCGGTCCGCACCTCTGCCCAGTCGGAGGGGCGGGCGGTACGTCCGGTCCGCACCTCTGCCCAGTCGGAGGGGCGGGCGGTACGTCCGGTCCGCACCTCTGCCCAGTCGGAGGGGCGGGCGGTACGTCCGGTCCGCACCTCTGACCAGTCGGAGGGGCGGGCGGTACGTCCGGTCCGCACCTCTGCCCAGTCGGAGGGGCGGGCGGTACGTCCGGTCCGCACCTCTGACCAGTCGGAGGGGCGGGCGGTACGTCCTGTCCGCACCTCTGACCAGTGGCCACTGCAGTGTCCGTGTATGCCCCAGAACACGCCACGGGTGTCTCCCGAGCCGTGTGTGTCTCCGAGTCGGTAGTGTGTCCAGCCGGTGTTGGACAAGTGCCGCTGGCCGGCCGTGGCGGCTGGAATGGAGGGCCGGGCACGGGCCGGCCGGCTCATCCGCCGGCGGTGGGAGGCCCGGTGTCAGCTGTGGGTCACACACCAGCACCGAACACTGCAGTTGTGAGGGGGACGGGTGCAGGCCATACAACACACACAGAACTGCAACAGGGAACTACTTACATGACACAAGTCAGAGTGGCCAAAACACATGTGCAATGTGCAGGAATCTCAGAAAAGGTATATTTGTGATCTGATCCCACGTAGTTATCCTGATATCGGATCCGATGGGATCCTAGATCCAGCCAAATGGCTCGAGACGGCAGCTGATTTACCCGAGGCGGCTCTCAGACCTGATCCCAAATGACGGCGGGTAAAACGGTGTGTCGTATACAGGTTATCGTCCGCCCGGCACCGGGGAAGGCGGTGAAATACGGCGAGTGGCGATCCAGCCAGTCAGTGTGTGGCCGCCGGTTAACGGTGAACTGCCACGCTGGGCCTGTATTATAGATATATACGACACCTGTTGATATACGACACCTGTTGATGATGTGCACGGAACAGAAGGACCAGGCCTCGACGGCCGACGGTGTGCTCTGGAGCCGGGACCGCAGCTCGGCAGGTCACAGCAGCGGCGGCACAGCGGCGCAGAAACACCCCCCCCCCCTCTGGTGGAGCCAAACTGTACTCAGGTCATCAGGACATTAGCACAGATGATGAGGTAAGCTCCGAAGGTAGCTGTTTTCCAGGACAAAGACTGGACATGTGTAAAATGTATTAGTCAAAGCGCATCCGATTATCAGTAGCCATGGCCAAGTGATAACTAAAATCTAAAAGCCGTTCCGGAGTCGGAGTCAAGGCAGCTTGATCGACACGGACTCCGACTCCGACTCCCAATCGGTCGGTAGCCCACTTACCCCCCTGTACGAAGCAGAGGACACAAAATATGGCGGCGCACACCCGGGCCGTGACGGCGTGCTTCCGTGAACCGAGTCGCACAGACGCGAGGACACTCGTTATGACCGGTGCCGTCAGAGCTCTACACTATTCAGTAGCATCCAGCTGACTATATCCGACCGTTGAATAGCCGGCTATATCATACCCAGGGTTACATCATCCACAATACCCGACCGGTAATTACCCACTACATTGCATCACTTCATCCAATCACACACATTACTGGCCCGGTAACTAGTTGTCCTATAGGCTACAGATGGCAATATACCCTGACAGATGGTACGGCTGAAGCGTCTCCTCTCGTGTACATGTAGTAGACATCTGACTAACCAATCTGACTGACTGACCAATCAGCTGACTGACCAATGGTCAGCTGACTGACCAATGGTCAGCTGACTGACCAGTGGTCAGCTGACGGACCAATGGTCAGCTGACGGACCAATGGTCAGCTGACGGACCGGTCGCCGCCCCGGGCCGGGTGACGGCCGCCGGCCGGGACCGGAGCGGGCGGGCGCGGCGCGGCCGGCCGCCGTCTGAACTGGCACCGCGTGTATACTGCCAGCTCGGACGGCAGCTAGCCAGTAGTCGAGTAGAGCTGTCCGTGTGTGAAGTGTCACAACACGCTCAGCACGGCGCTCAGCACCGCCGAGCCGAGGTGCAGCCAGACCCGGGGGGAGCGGTCACGTGACCGAGCCGTCCGACTCCACCGCACTGTAGGCCGGCAGCCTGAAAAAGCGCTAGAAATTCCCCCAAACTGACTGTCCGCAATATGAACAAAATAGGTATCATTTAATCCCAAATTGATCGAAGAATACGATTCCGATGCTAGTTTTGCCCTAAGGTCAAAATTGAGGTCGTCAGTTGTCACCAAACACAAGACAATTTAGACTCTCTATAGGCCACCACATTTACCGATTTTAATGAAGAACTTTAGTGGTAATTTATTAGTTGACCAATCGTCGTTTTGAACGAAATTTCCTGTCACACTAGTTCAGGGCACTGTTGTTCACTGTGCCAACATCATTCTGACATATTGCATCGCTTTTCTGCAAGATAAGCTAGCTGTTTGCAAGCAGCTGCAAGACGTAATTTAAAATCATATCCAATTTTTTAATTAGACTTTTATAAAAACGTTATTTCGAGCGGCTAAAAATGAACATTTCATACTAGCCTCTGATTACTCATCTTTCGTTCCATATAGGTGCTTTGCTGCTTTTCCCTGCTACTTTTCGAGATATGCGCCAGTAAACCACATGATGTAGGGGCAATTGTCACCTCGCCGCTCTACTGAAGGCCCGGCGCTCTTTAAAACGCTGGAAGTTGTGAAAAACAAACGCTTATAATCTAAATGAAATATATGTCCCTGAGCTCAGAATTGATCAACGCACACAATGCTGTCAACATTTCTGGGCCAAACTCAAAAATTCAGTCATTATTAACCCCTAAACACAAGTCAGTGATAATCAACAACAACTTGCTCTTTAGTTAGACTTTTTGAGAAATGTTATTTCGAGCCGTTAAAAATGGCCATGCCATACAAACCACCAATCATCTTTCTGTCATGCCCTACTCGCAATTTTTGCTAATGCCTGCTACTCTTCGAGGTCACGTGACCTCACCATTAAAAGTGAATGGGGAAATAAGGAAACTGTTGTTTTTGCGCATGGAATGATTTCAAACTATCTCAAGCACACGGAATCGTGATTTCGTGCACTCCTTGCAAGATCCGATGCTTTACTTTTGCATTTTTGACCTTCCGTGACGTCATTTATGACGTCACACCGGTCATAGGAGTTTCTCGTCAATAACTCATGATCAAATTGAGCCAGCGACTCGGGAAAGCCACCAATGGACTCGGGAAGACCTCCCGAATCGAATGATATGCGATACGACCTCCTTCGATTAAGTTCGTGGCCTGATGGGCTCTGAACTGACCTTGACTCGAGGTCAATAACTTAAGTTGACCTCACCCGAACAAAACGTATACCATTCGACGCGCCTGAGCCAGGCGAACACGATGGTGCCAAAATCGCTGCTCTGCGGCCATTTTTTTGCGAAATTATTTGCCAAAAACCAAACCCTACCTTGGGCTTTTTGACTTCACCTCAGAGGTTACCGGTTGACCTGGGACCTTAAAATCGGGTATCAATCGTTCCGCCTTGAAACGGCGCACACGCTTGTTTTTTCCGCGAGGCTCTAGCTCCATTAGGGGTGAAACGGCAAAAAGGGGTCGTACCAACCCTCCCCCCCTCGGCCGGCCGAGGGGGTGGGGGTCCGACAATAAGTCCGGCGAGGGTTAAGCAACCCCACTTCGTTTTTAGCATGTTTGCTTGTCACTGAGATCAACAACTCAATCACAAATAATTTCTAGCACTTTTCCGGACCCCCGGCCCAGTGTGCACCGGGGGGACGGTCACGTGACCGAGGCCGGCCGTGCCGCCGGGACCAGGCGCGGTGAACCGAGTCGGACGGTCAGAGACGTGTGTTCTACATACAGAATAGCGTAATGCCACAATCGGTAGTCTCTCCAGCACATCACTTTTTACTGTCCAATCACCCACAGTACCCACCCGGTAATTACCCACTACATCACTTTTCACTGTCCAATTACCCACAATACCCACCCGGTACTTACCCACTACATCACATCTCTGGTCCAATTACCAACAATACCCACCCGGTAATAACCCACTGCATCACATCCGTGTGATGCTACTACATCTACACTACTACTACTACAACTAGATCACTACACTAGAGCGGACACCGGGGCCGTGTGCCGGCTGCATGACCGGCGCCGCTCTCAGTGCCGGCTGGTGCAGCACACACGGCAGCAGTCAGCTGGCGGCCCCGGCCGACTGGCTCGGCCTCTCTGCAGTCAGCTCATCACTGCACGGTCGGTAGTGCAGCGCATCAATCCTCCCACTCCCACACTTTGACCCCACCGCCTTCCTGTCTCTTCAGCTGACGGTACAGCTCCTCTGTGGACAGAGCAGAGACACGTCTGAGGTGGACACCTCACACACAGACAGACACACAGACAGCGGTACAGCCATGTCCACACACCGCCGGCCAGTGACGTCACACACAGGACAGACGGCTGACGTGACGTCACCGTCGGCCGTGGTGGCCGTGACGCGTCACGTCACCGTCCGTGACGTGGCCTGCGGCGGTGGTCGAGTGTGTGTGTCTGAGAGGCCGGTGGCGCCGTGCAGCGTCTGTTGTGAGGGACTGACTGGTCAGAGGCGCGGCGCGCGGCGCCCTCTCACCTACCGGGGACATTGAGACAGATGATACGGGACCGGCCAAAACTGTCCCGGCCCAGGTCCGTCTCCTTCAGGGCGGTCAGCACGGCCCGGGTGGTGTCTGCCGTGCAGTGAAGGTACAGAACCCACAGCTTCCGACACGACTTCACCAGTCTGTAACAGAGCAGAGCAGCAGAGCCGTCACACACAAACACAGCGGCACCAGTCGGCCGGACGTACGAGTCAGTGTCAGTGTCAGTATTTCAGTGTCGGTGTGTTGGTGTCAGTGACAATGCGTCAGTGTCAGTGTGTCACTATCAGTGTATCAGTGTGTCAGTGTGTCAGTGTGTCAGTGTGTCAGCGTGTCAGTGTGTCAGTGTGTGTCAGTGTGTCAGTGTTAGTGTCAGTGTGTCAGTGTCAGTGTGTCAGTGTCAGTGTGTCAGTATCAGTGTGTCAGTATCAGTGTGTCAGTGTCAGTGTGTCAGTGTGTCAGTGTCAGTGTGTCAGTGTCAGTGCGTCAGTGTGTCAGTGTCAGTGTGTCAGTGTCTGACAGGACACCCCTCGCCAGTGTCTGCTGACTGACCTGGTGACCGCTGCTGCTGTGAAGGCCGTCTCTGCCGGCCGCTGGCGGTCCCCCAGTGTAAGGTACTCCAGCCCGGGGCAGCTGCTGAGACTGTCCAGCACGGCGTCAGGGACGCCGCCGGACAGGGTGAGCCACCGCAGCTCAGGGCACCTGGTGAGGGGCTCCAGGCTCCCGGTGTCAGGGACGCCGCCGGATAGGGTGAGACGCTTCAGCCGAGGGCACCTGGTGAGGGGCTCCAGGGTGCCGGCCGTGAGATCAGAACAGTCTGGAAAACACACAGACACACATACAGACAGGATCAGCAGCGGACTGCAATACATGTCGCATAGATAACATGAATCCGTATACCGTAACATGATAACCGTAAGCCATGGTATAACAGTGGTTCTATATGATATGCCATATAGGTAAACATGAATGAATGAATGAGCATGATAACATGAATGTTCATGCTATCTATGGATATACGAGGGGGTATCGAAAAGTTCTGATCATCACCATGAATTAGATGTGATAGAAATTTGATTTCTTTACATGATGTTCATTACTCCTTTACAAGTCACCACACATGACCGCAAACTTATTGCATCGTTTCTTGAGCTGCCTCAGGCGGTCATTGTAGGACCTTCGCACTGTCCCGTAAATCACTGCTCCACCTCATCAATGACGTCATTTCTGTCCTTAAATCACCGGCCATACTGTGAATTTTTAATCTCCCGTAACAATCAAGAGTCAGTTAATACCCGGTCAGGTGAATTTCTTAGATGCGGTAGGATTTAATGTCCACATCATGTTGTTTCTTCAATTGCAGCTCAGGACGAATGGGCGGGGGCGCTGTCGGTGCGGATAAAACATCTTTCTTGGCTTTTTTTGCGGCGATTCTGCTTGAGGCCATCTCGCAACTTCTTCAAAAGTGTGCAGTAGTGCTTGCTTGTCATTATCCGACCATCATCAAGACAGTCGGTAATGACTATCCTACGTCAGATCCAGAACACTGATAACTTTGACCTTCCATATCGGCTTCTGCATCTTCGCCTTTTAAGAAGGACAGATGTGCCGTGCTTAAACTTTTTGACCATCTTTTTGTCTCTGGATCATACACATAGACCTAGCATTCGTCACAAGTCATCAAATGATCGAAGATGTCTTCAATTTCCTAAAAAAGGCCTAGTTTTCATTTCGAAAGGCCAAGACGCATTTTTCTCTTGAACAAAGTAGACACACGAACTTCTAAGCGGGCTGACTCCTTTATCGTCTGTAGTTCTTCGCTGATAATATTTTCAGGCACTGCCAGCATTAAGACCTTTCTGTTGCACAACCATCTGAAAGGTCACACGACGATCTGTAAGGATGAGGTCCTCCACTTCCTTCACAGTCACCACCTTGTCAGTCATTGGTAGTCACTCACTTCTTGACTCCCCCGCAAGGGCCATGCAACCAAGCTGAAAATTATTTCTTCATTTTCGGTAAGTGCATGAGATGGGCTTTCCTCGCCATAAACTAATTTCACGTTCTTGATGTATTTTACCAGTATGATACCGTTTCAAATGCATTAGCTGGATGACGGTTCGGTCCTCAATGGGCCCAATGCTCATCTTTTTTACTTCTAAGTCTCTCCTACATAAGATAAAACCACTTCTCAGGATTCTCGTTGCGGGAACATTGTTCTTAATAACCAAATATAATACCAACCAAAAATCAACAAAATCGGTCTATATTTTCTATGTGATGATCAGAACTTTTCGATACCCCCTCGTACAATCAGTTCAGCCAATGCATTGAAGTGCAATGAACATTGCATTGCAATCGCAATATGTATGTTCAACTAACTATGAGCGAATATATCACTGATTGTACAGTCCTCCTCCTCCATTTTGGAGCTCAATTGGCTTCATTATTTCTCAAAGCACATTGGCTATGTATCACATCTGTCTCCATGAGGTCCGACAACGGCACACCGTTACTCGATGTCCGCCATTCGCTGATCTCGTATATCAGCGGCCTGTCCGTGCTGCCGCTGCTCACCGTATATCTCCAGTAGTGTGACCGTCCGTCCCAGGTCAGCCAGGTGACTGATGGTGTCGGCAGCCTGCCCCTGGAGCGACACTGACAGACCCCAGTACCGTCCCGGCCACCTCGGCTCCGTCACCTCCGGCCCTGTCGGACAGAGCTGTGTCAGCTGACTGCAGTCGGACAGAGCTGCCGCCAGCTCCCCGCTGCACCACTGACACCAGAGTGTCAGACACTGACGCGGCCAGTACTCATACAGCCGAGCGGCAGCACAACAATTCTTAGCAACAGCAGTTGCAGTCATATGTAGAATGTATATATGAATATACAAAGTATATGCGATAAGTATATGCGTGATAGGGGAGGACCGTACAAGAGTACGCACCTAATGCATTTTGTCGTCTCACGCCGTTCGGTTTTGGTTTACGGCTACAATCAGTATATTCCGATAAAGCCTGATCATTTGTCCACAAACTGACATGACCACAGCGGCCTACGTCCAATTTAAAGCGTGACCGTAAGCAATTTTCTAACACCCTGCATTTGCGTACTCTTGCCCGATAGGCAGTACAAGAGTACGCACTTCGTGCGGGTGGAGTACGCACTACGTGTATGCATTCCTACTCGCTGGAATCAATGCATTCATGCAAGTAATTTAACTATTGTTATCTTTATTTCCGCAGCCACTAAAACGGTCACTCTTAACAGAGTCGAGGCGCCCCGCTGCGGTCGTGCAAATGCCCCCTGGTCTACCAGAAACAGTGATGCTCTTCGTGGTTTCCCCAACTGCTCGGCGTCCCCCCGAGTGTCATCCACCTTGTTGGCCAATCCCGTGAATCTGCTGAGGGGTTGCGCGCCTGATGCACTAAGTTGATTAATGCAACACAACTACGCACTCGGAAAACTGCGTACTCTTGTCCGCCACGGCAATGCGTACTCATGGCCGACACATACGGTAGACACAAAGCGGGCTGAGAGCTGGCGCCACAGTCGTCGCGTAAGCAATTGGGACTTGACACACACACCAGATTCCCCGTGGTATCTTGATAGGGAAAAATGAAAATTCTATTGCCGCTCCCTGAGGAAGGTCACACCTTTTCCTGCACCCCAAAAAGTCTAAAAGCGATGTGAAAAACACGTCTAAGCCTCTAAAAAAGACAAGTGAACCCGTAGCGCGCCCACCTTCCACCATCGAAGCCGCGTGAGAGACAGCTTCCTTAGGACTCGAGATGACGCTGATGAGGCGTTGCTAAGCAACCGAAACAGCTGCTGCGTACTCTTGACGCCTGCGTCCTCTTACCCGCCCTTACCCTACAGTAGTCTATGAAACTACTTTATATATGCAACTACCAGTGGTTGCGCTGTAATCATTCCTCATCGAAACAACTGCCTACTAACTGTAACCATGCCTGCATTCCCTCCCGTGCTGGCCGCCTTCGATCGTGGCGCCACCTATACTCTGTATAACCACCGCGCCAGGGCCGCGGCCAGTCCGTCTTGCCGATTACGTGACAAAAGATCGTAAGACAAAAGATCGTATGGAAAAAGATCGTAGGGAAATGATCGTATGATAAAGATCGTATGTCGCAAAAGATCGTACGACTTAACCCGGCAGGCGGTGGGCCTACCAGCCACCTTCCGCGCGGTGGGGGGGGGGGGCACTTTTTTGCCCCCCCCGTATCTCCGAAACTACTGGACGGATCCGGAAAATTCAAACGGCGTTCGATAGCCCTGTCAAATTTGTCGAAGGAAACCAAATTTCATTGACCTCGGGGTCACCGATGACGTCACAGGTCAGGTCAAAGATAAAATGTTTCACCGTTCACGGGGCTTCTAGGGAAAGCGCTATAACACCGAGTAAAACGCATTTTGTCGAAAATCAGCGATAAGGCGTCAGTTGTCTAGTACATATGTTGCTATTAGAGGTCACTGGTCATACCAGGTCAGGTCACAGGTCAGGTCACCAAAGGTCACCAAGGGTCACCACATGAGCCCAACTTTACTAAGGTTATGCGATGCATGTTTTATGGCCAGTTTTTCATTTCCAACTCAATGGTGTTGGTTATAAGACCATCAGGTACGGTTTGGGTCACTTTCTGGTGGAGGTCAGGTCAAGGTCAGGTCAAAAAAGGTCAAATTTAAAAGTTGATATTTATGCATAAAATGGGTATCGATTCGATGCAGCTCGTCACGGGGAGTCTAATGGTGGTCTTTGTTTTGCGCTACGAGGTCTAGAATTGCTAAAAATTGAGTTTGAAAATTTGACGTCATCAATTTTGAACAGTTTTTTCGCTATAACTTCGCCAAAAAAAGAGGTATCGATCTCAAATTTGGTATGTAGATAGAAGGCGGTAGGGGCTATCACATATATTCCGGTTTTTTCGAAATTCAAAAAACTTTTTGGATTTTTTGGCTATTATATTCAAAAAATCTATGTTTTGATTTTTGGGGGTCAAAATCCAAAAAAATCGAAAAACCGAAATGGCAGTTTTGTAGCCCTTTTAATTTTACACCTTTTATGTCTGAAACATTTTTCTGTATCTCTAAAGCTGTAGGCCTGACAGCTCTTCCCGCGAAACCTTATTTTGGGTCGAAAATGGCAAAAATGACGTCACTCTGACGTCATTAGCGGCCAACCTATCATAGCCTTTGGAAAAATTTTTGGTCACCATGTGCGCTAGCTGCTCCCGGGAGGGTACTGAAAGTTTGGTGACGATCGGCGCAGCGGTTCTCGAGATATATCGAAAAAACTAAAGGGGGGGCAAAAAATTGCCCCCCCCCCCACCGCCTGGAAGGTTAAAACCCGCGCCCCGCTGGGCTATTCAGCCATACGCGCCCTGCTGGGGGGGGGGCAGATTCTGCCCCCCCTGTCTAACTTCCGAACCGATGGTCGTAGAAAGACGGGGAAAACGGCAATCGAAAGCTCTCAACAACGCGGATCTTAAGAGCCCAATTTTTTTGCTTAAGTAGGTCAGAGGTCAGGTCAAGGTCAGGTCAAGCGTACAAAATGCAAGTTTCTGCAGTATCGGCCTTGCACCGTAGTTGCCGCAGAATGGACTGAGACTGATTGCCCAAAACGTGTTCTTAGACTACCAAGACAATATTCGTTGCATACAATGTCATTCAAAGGTCAAGGTCAAGGTCAGGTCAGGCCAGGTCAGGTCACCAAAAACAAAATATAGAAAAGGGCATGTGCGACACATGTTTTATGGGTCATTTTA